CGTGGTTCCCGCTCTCTGTCTGGTCGAGTCCAGAATGCGATAGGCTGCTTCCCATCATTTCTGGCTTTTTCAATTCGTCCACGTCCATATTTTCTACTGGGGCCTGCACTATAGCACTAACCACCTCCATTAATTCTTTCTCCTTTAACTCCGTTTGGACGTGGAGTGTTCCTACATCCTCTGTTAGGGTTTTCAGTAATTCCCCTACCAGAGATTCATCTATCTTATCAGAGGTAACCTCTGATAAATTTAAAAGCTACTCGGAGGACAAGTCCTCCTCGGATACCGACGATTTAGTATTTTTTGTTTGTTTTTTATGTTTGGACATTTTTGTTCCCATGAGTATGGGGGTCAATGGAACTACAGGTACTACCCCCTCTCCCTGCAGCCGGCTACTTGAAATGGGGTGTCGCCCGGTTCTCCAAGTGAGTTGATAAAAGACAGTATATCTTTAACCCACATATATCATCCACATACATATGGATGGAAGCAATGAACCCCTCCTCTGTCGTCCACGAGTCCCATCGGACTCCCCAGGGGGCACAACATGGAGGTGACAGTAGGCGTTGATAGGGATAAGGAGATCTGGGAACTCACAAGCAGTGGGTAGGGTACTAACGCTCGATCGCTCTGCGAAGAGTTGGAGAGATTCCTGCTCCCGATCCCTCTCTAGACCTACCGTTACCCGTTTGTATCTTTAACAATGTCTTCATCAGGAAGGATGACAGATATATTGGCCTTAATGCCTTGGGATCTTCATAAGATTGCATTCCAGATTTTGGAATGTATTGCACATTGGATTATTGCTGAGAGACCCTTCTGCAGTTGTGCCGGAAAGGAACGTTCATCAGTACCAAGATACTGCTTAGTGGGATGAAGAGGTTCTGTTTCTGTCATACAACATTTTGGGAAGTGTGCTTTTCCTACAGCACTTAACATTTCAATTTCATTTGTGGTAAATTTGCCTTCATATTTGAGGGTTCCCATCGTGCACAGGTTAGCTTGTTTTGACAGAATTTTGTTGACTTGACATACCGCTGGAATATTGTCCACCTCCAGACAAAACCTTTTCCAGCCTTGTTTTCTGGCTTTCCTAGCAGATTTGTGATATTCAGTAAGAACTTTCTTATAGGTATCCCAATTGTCAGATGTGAAACTTTCATTCTACCAGGAAACCTTCTTGTTGGTTTTAGTTTTTTTGGCATCATAACTGGCCAGATATGATTTAATCATAGCATCAGTCAATGAAGTGTTGAGATATTCTAGTTGCCATGCACTGTGGATAGCTTTGGGGCAGCATTTAACGCCCTCCTCCAAATTGGTGCTATAGCAAACCCAGTCTGTATGTTTGGCATATCTGAATTTCACATCATGTTGTGTTCTGTCAGATATATCAAATCTGGTATATCTGTGATCCGAGCATGTTTCTTCATCAGAAACATGCCAGTTATCAATGAGGACACTTATCGTTTGAGTCGCTAGTGTTATGTCTATGATCTCTGATCTAACCTTATTGTAGAAGATAGGTTTATTCCCTCTATTTAGAATATCAAGATCATATTTAATAATGGTCTCCAAGAGTTTCTCACTTCTAGAGTTGGTATCTAGCTCCCCCAGATCTCGTTATTTGCATTAGCATCCAGGGCAGCTACTGTCATCACTGCAACTTAGGATTCTCTCCATTCCTTCTGCAGGTTCTTGATTTTCATAAGGCAGATAAATAATAGAATAATAATAATAATAGAAAATAATTTTATTCTGGGACGAAGTCCCTTCAGAATAACAAAAAATTACAAAATTAAAATGTTGTATCTGGCCAAATAAAAACAAACATAAAAAGTGAAGGTAAAGCTAAATCAGTAAAGAAAATATTAGTTTTACATACTATATACAAAATAAAAAAAAAATTAAAAAATCCATATACAAAACTCTTGAAACCTTGCCAAGACAGTTAAAACTACGTACAATTGTAAAATATAAATGTATACTTTAGAAAAAATAAAAAAAGTTGAATCTGCTAATAAGTATTTCAGTTATGAGCTATATGCAAATACATTAATATGTAATTTTACATAAAAGGTTAGCGGGTATCTGACTGTTTTTGGGACAGGAATTGGAATAAACTGCCGCTATGATAAAAGATTTACTTGCTGAGTGTATTTGCTTGCTGCAAGATCTCTAGAACAAAATTGCCATAGAGGTAGCAATTTTAGTTTATTCTTGTAGGCAGATATGGTTTGTGGCCACCGAAATGATTCCATACCCTGGCATGCTCAATCCCCTGATGTTGCCTTCAAGTAAATAAAGTTCAAGTATTACAATGATATATATTCTTACGTTTTATGTTCTGTTGCAATACAGTGGTGGATATTGATCTGCAGTGGTTTCATATTTCCAGATGCAGTCAATGGTAGGGTTTCCACCATCAGACTCAGTTTTCACCTTGTCTTTTGGTTTCTCTCCACTGCTCGACCTCGCTTTCAATCCCTTCTCCAGGTTAGACAAGTGCCTCGAGGCCAAATTCTGGCACACAGTCTGTGAAAGTGGCAGAGATTTGCTTCTGGATCCAGTTTCCACTTGCATCTTTTAGCTTAGCCCCGCCTCCTGACATGGTCGATGGCCTTGATGCGCTCCTTGTAGAAGAGGGGGATTCCTTGGTTTCCCTTTCTTTTGAAGTCCCAGCTCTTGGTGCTTCATCTTGTAATTCCTCTGGAGCAGGCTTGGTACTCGTTGCCAGATGCCTAAATTTAATCACGTAAATGCCACAGCAAGCCTGCATTCCGTGCGTTGTGAGGCTCTGGAGGCTGTTCTCTGGTATATTGAACACTCTGTCGAAAGCCTTAAAAATGAAAATGGTCTAGTTACTGATTCCAGTTATCGACTGAATTTGTATCTGGAGCCGATTGAGATAAAATATAGCAGCCAGAACCTTTCCAGAAAAGAAGGCTCCGATCCTGGTGATTTTTTTTAATTCACAAGCTCATAGGGTTATACTCTCATCGATCATAATGCTTGGTATAATATTTTTGAACCATTCCACAGTATGGTCATCCAGACAAGATACCAGACATCCAGGGAGTTTGTTGATTGCTCCGTCAAATTTCGGATGAATATCTCCTCCAATTTGTAGGTTGTCTATTTTGCTGGTGATGACTTTCTTCAATACTTCGCATTCGTCGTAGCTAAGTTGGATCTACAGATACCATTCCACAGTATGGTCATCCAGACAAGATACCAGACATCCAGGGAGTTTGTTGATTGCTCCGTCAAATTTCGGATGAATATCTCCTCCAATTTGTAGCTTGTCTATTTTGCTGGTGATGACTTTCTTCAATAATTCGCATTCGTCGTAGCTAAGTTGGATCTACAGATAGTTATTAGGAATCACCACTACCAACAGTCCCCTAGCGACTTTTGTGTAGTTTCTTGGTCTTCCTATGGTTTCTTAGCAGTTGATGCTGAGATTCCTTATTGTGTTCTGTTACGCTTTTCTATAATCAATCTCGATCTTGGTCTTCACCTTTGAGGCATCGCAGTCTTGAGACTAGTAATATAACCTCAGAAGACCACTATATACTATTGGGATACTTCTAAAATAAATAAGAGGTTGTTATAAATAATAAACAAAATTATTAGAGTATAAATATATTAAATTGAAATATGTAATTATTTTTTCTCAGGTATGGGTTACTGACAATCTGATTATAAGACTTAGACAGATCAACATTAACTACACTAAACACTGTTTGATTTTAAAATAAAGTCAAGTATGAATTTGCAATCAAACCTTTTTTCTATGAACACTGTTTCTTCCTTTGTTGCACTGGATTCATTTGTCTTCAAATGCTTTGCAATGTTCTTCCAAACACAACTTCCAAAATGGTGACACTTTAATCTACTCAAACTCCCTGGGAGATCCGATCCTCTCTCTTGTGATTCCAAACAACTAGTCTCTCTGCAAAACAACTTCCAAAATGGTAATCCTATTACTGGGTTTTACCCACTGGAGCCAAGATCCCTTCTCCCATCTTCTCTTCATGTTTAGCCTATGATATAAAGTGCCACTTCCGGTCAGTCGATTTTGATAAAAAAAGTTATTGTAACATCCCTAGCATGTAAAAACCTTAAATATAAAATTTCACTTACGTACAATTTTTCGTTTTTGAGCTGAACTGTTAACACACACACAGACCATTTTGCGGGACTTGGTTATTTGGACTCGGGGTACCTCAAAACGTGTATTTCCATTGAAAACAGATTAAAAAATTTTCACGATCGCAATAATTTCCTTTACTGAAAGTAATATTATTAAGCATGGGTTAAATTTTGTTCAAGAGCAGTCCTCTGCATTGACCTAATGGACTACTAGCTTTAAACAAGTTGTTTTGTTGTTGCTGTACCAAAAAACATTTAGAATGATAATTGTCAATAATACTGGACTATAATATACTTCAATCCATTTCTGTCTGAAATTTATGTTTGTGTTTCTTTATTAGTAGCATGGATTCTACTGGTTATGATTTTATTTACCAATGTGTGTAAGCTAGATTTGTAGCTAATTCGATTGGTTGTACACTACTGTGATATAATCTTCGTCACTTATGCTTCAGTGGTGTGCAATCCATTTTGTTCTTGAAATCCAACTAAACCAAGTAGAAAGGAAACTTGCTAAAGCAATTCTTATTAAAAGAATAATTATAATTAGAGGAATGTGAAAAATCTGTGTTATTATATTCTAGCCTCACTATGTATTTTTCAAGCTGAATGGACTTCTCACTCCAAGAGAATGGAAATTTTCAATTTTAATATAACTTAATTCTTACCATACCACAGGCATAAAGTTATTTTATATATGTAATTATTATTAAAAGTTTTTAAATCTTAGTGCATATAATTTTGTTTAAAAAAAAAACTTTTAAACCATTCAAAATTGCAACAAGAAAAACAAATAAATATTTCACAACTTGACATTTTAACATTATGTATTTTTTCAATTCTAGCCTATGCGTATGGGAACCAGTGTTGTCAATACGGCTGGCATTAAAACTGGTGTTGCTACAATAAGAACTCCAACTGGTGCCTTGCGACCACAGATTGTAAGGACACCAATCACCCTTAGACCTGGGCAAACAATCGCAACCAAGACACCTTTTGGAACGCGACCAATCCTAGCCACGTCCCAGTTTGCACCTTCTCTTGTCATCAAATCTGGTCAGCCACAACAACCAGTGAAGGAAAAGCGGACATTTTCATCATCTGGATTTGTGTAAGTGTACTCAGCTCTGTAGTCTACTGTATTTTTATACTATAGTCATAATGGTATTTATAGTGCATTCATGTTTTTTTTTTTTTTTGTTGTTTTTTCTTAGCCTTAAAGATGTGTTATTAATATTTATATAACTTAACATTTTGGATAGAGTTCCTTACACTGCATGGATTGTTTGTATTCTTAGGTAGTTATGAGGAGATAAAGTTTATATCTTGATAAAACTATATTCTACTGATCAGATTCTCTAGTTGTCTAATTGTGTTGATCCAGTTAATAGTCCTTAGTCTAGTGGCATGTATTGGCATGTGCACCTCTGTGACCATTCTGTCGGAGTCAGAATAAAAAGCAGGGTAACAAAAAATTTGATATGCCAATGTGTTATAAAATCTATCTTATTTAGTAGTTCTAAGATGTTGTCGAGTAGGTCTGTTTTTATCCTCTTTAATGAAGTGTGTTATAATGTCTCAGCACTCCGTTCTGAAACTGTTGAAACTTTTTACTCATTGAGGCCAATATATTTGCTAGCATTGGCACTCCATGAATGAGGAGCAGTCTTAAATTAATAATATGAGCCGGAGGTATATATTTGGTGATGTTAATAGATGATTTAGTCTATAATACTTGGTCTTCACCAACTAGATCTTCTTATGGCAGTGATGGAATAATGTCAGATTCCTGTTGAGGGTGACACCCTAGTATACTATACTCTCTTCCAGTCTATTTGTTTTACGTTACCCTATAGACTTTAGTAGTTGGGCTCTCCTTCTGGAACGAAAAGTTATTGTTATTGATAAATTTATTTATTAGGTTTAGGTGAGGTAAGTAATGTGTATGAGAATAAATATTGATAAAATGTTTATCTGATTGAGTAAAGGATTTTTTTCTTCTATTGTTTCATTTGTAAAATATAGCGCAATCTGTAATATAATGCTAAAACTTTTTTAAAGATTCTTTTTACTATCACTTTCCTATATATAGTAAGGTAATGCATTGCGATCTTGAAAATTTTTGAATCTGAGTTTTCAACGGAAATACATGTTTTGAGGTCCTCTGAGTCTAAATAACCAGGTCCCGCAAAATGGTCTGTGTGTGTGTGTGTGTGTGTGTATGTGGCTCACAAACGAAATATCATATGAAACTGATATTAGGTATTTATGATAGGTTATGCCTTGAATGTTACAGCAACTTTTTCGTTAAAATTGATTTACCAGAAGTGGCCCTTCATATCAATGGTTATACACATTTTTACAATTTTCTCGGAAACAGCTCCATGATTTTTATATATATATATTATATGTGTATAATAATTAAATGTTCTTTAATATCATTATTATCTCCATTTCCATCATCTGATCTCCGTTGATGTCTGAAATGCTTAAATTTTCAACATGTCTTCCTCTAAAGTACCTTTAATTTGGTTTATTTTAAATAATTAACTATCTCTCATTATTATGAGTTAAAAAAAAAATGCTAAGTATAATTTTTGAAAGAAATTGATAATTGAATAAAGGAGTAAAAAGAAAAATACTAGCTATAAAATAATATACATATTATATATCGTTGGAAAGTGGAAAATTTTAGAAAATATAAAGCTAATGTAGAAAGGTTGCTGAAACAATTCCACTAGTTTTCTCGGTTAGGAAAAAAAAAATGGTTCAACCAATTAAATTTCTACAGCAAAGCTGAGTTGAATCAACTAAACTGGTTCATGTGAAACCAGCCTAATATTTCTTTTTTTAATTTTAGAGGAGATGATGATATCAATGATGTTGCTGCTATGGGTGGTGTTAATCTTGCTGAAGAAAGCCAAAGGATTCTAGGGTCTACTGAATTTGTTGGGACTCAAATACGGTCTTGCAAAGATGAACTTTATCTCCACACATTACCACTCATGAACAGGATAGCACGAATAGGTAATTATTAATTTTTTTTTTCCATTTATTTAAAGCAAATGAAGATTTCATTTTCAAAAGGCTCGTTGTATCATTTGAAAATTTTCTTAATATGTTGAAAATTCTAATGAGAATTCTAGTTATATAATTTTGCTTTATAAATATTTTGGAATTAGAATTTAGCTTAACTCAGAACAGATTTAAAGTAGTTAAAATGTGGACAAGCCTATCACCCATCATGAGATAAAAGAGAAAAGCAAATTAAAAGTCTATAAAATTTTCAAACTTGTTTCCTTTTATCCAGACTTCCTAAAAGAAGTTTACAATTAAATTATTCAATTTTTTTTTAACTCGAATAATAAATATAATAATAAAAAGCTAAGCGAATTTGAAGGTTCAATGACGACACCACCAATCGCTTACACACCTCCCTCCATAGGTCGCCGTTCAAACCCTGTCCCTTCAGATCTGGTCACGAGTTCGTGTCCTCGCCCACATTCCCTGGCCGGGGAAAACCCCGTATAGCCTTAACGGCGAGGAAGGGGAGGACCCAAAAAAAAAAAAATCTAGACCAGAATGCAAAAAATGCTTAAATGTATTTGGATATGTTCTCTTTAGAATATGGGGGTTCCCTTTGTAGGGAATGTATTTGTTCCCTTTGGATACAATCATCTAACTTGATCCTTGCAAGAGAGAGGGATATATTCAGTTTTGAATGAATAAATGAAAAAATAATTTTATTCTGGGACTATAGGCCCCTAAGAATAATAACAGAGTTACAAATTTATGGATCTTAGTCTGGCTTGGAAGGATACAAACTAATTAAATTTTGATTGTTATTGCAATTGTTCAGTTGATTGAATTAAACAGTATACAGATGCAAGTAAGTTTTACATGTTTACAGAAGTTTGAATGTGGAGTAGGTTATGAACAGGAGTTGTTTGAAGGAATTTGTGGATGAGGTCTGACCTATGGAGGTAGCACGAATGACGAAGGATTTGCTGAAGGAAGTAGTTTTATGGGAGGGAATATATAAATCTATAGGTTGAGACCTAGTATTAAGAGAGAGGATAGAGAAATGTAGAGTAAGGAGTAGGATGTAGGGTGGGTTTTTGGTTCTGAGGACTTTGAAAAGGAAAATACCAAGGAGAAATTGTCATCAGAAAGTAGGATAAAGCCACTTCAACTCAGTGTACCCGAATGAAACATGAGAACGCCTGGAGTTTTGGTGACAAATGATTAGATGGTTTGATTAAATTTATCCAAAGGAAACGAAAAATGTGAAAAAACTTCTTTTTTTTTTTTAAATTTTATAAATTACCTTCACCCTTCGTCGTAAACCAATGACTTCCGGTCCTTCAGTATCCTTTAACAACACCTCACTTATTCCTGTTGAACAAATCCGTTACCTAGGACTCCATCTGGACAAACCTCTAACTTGGAATCCTCATACCAGACTGAAACAACAAGAAACAGCTCGACGTTTCCGACTACTTCAACACTTACTAGACAAACGCTCTAACCTTCCAATTAATTATAAAATACTCATTTACATGACTATAATAAGGCCTATTTGGACTTACGGAGTTGAGCTATGGGGCTCCACCAAATCTTCAAATTCCTCTCGCATCCAATCCTTACAATCCAAAATCCTTCGTAAAATCCTCAATGCTCCTTACTTTGTTACAAATAAAATCATCCATAACGACCAGATTTGGCCCAATCCAGATATCTGTCCTTCCATAATAAACTTCATAACCATCCCAACCCTCTTTTTTCTAACCTTGCTTCCTATTCAATTCCTGATAATCCTCCGAGGCGTCTGAAAAGAAGATGGCCACGTAATCTCCTAATATAGACATATTATTAGAGTGCTACCAATGGGTAGTTTCTCTTCATGTGTTTCATGTCATTATATCCATGTGCGAATTTACCAGATGTATTTTTTGTATACAGTTATAAATATCATATAAATAAATAAATAAAAATTATAGATGATGTTATCTTTTGTAAGTAAACTTCTCATATTTATAAAATAATAAATAATCAAGTTATTATTAAACATTTTTTATTGATTTTCTTAGCTAGAAAACATGGGCTGGAAGAACCTAGTTTAGAAGTTGCATCATTAATTTCACATGCTACCCAAGAAAGACTAAAAAATCTTGTGGAAAAATTAGCCGTTATAGCTGAGCATAGGATAGACTTAAACAAGGTTTGTAATGGTGTTCTTTATTTGAAATTATATTATATAATTAAGTTACTGTAGCTTCTATTATTAATCATGTATCTATTATCTATTAGGCTGACCCAAGATATGAAGTGAGTCATGATGTACGAGCCCAGCTTAAGTGCCTTGAAGAAGTAGACAGGGCTGAAAGAAAGAGACACGAAGAACACGAGAGAGAACTCCTTTTAAGAGCAGCTAAGTCCAGAACAAAACCTGAGGATCCAGAACAGATGAAGCTCAAGGCTAAGGCCAAAGAGGTTTCTAATTTGTTTACTCTAATTCCTTTATCTATATGTTTGTGAGATGCACTGTGTAATCGCACATTCAACTATGAAAATTATTCCAGAGAAAATTTGGTTTTTATATAGGTTTGATCAGATTACATTAGTTACCGGGTTTCTAATTGGGAATAGATTACTATCTGCTTTGAGGGACATACGATTCTTTAGTGATAGGTAGAGATCGGATTATCATGCAGCAAAAACCTAAAAAGTATAAACATTGTGTACATAACATGCAAAAATCGTAGTCTTTGTTTAATTTACAATAATTATACTTGTTTACTCTTGTGTTAAGAATTAAAAAACAAACCTGAACCGCTACAATCCATGAAGGGTCTTGGGTTTTGTACTATATAGAGAAAGTACTGTTTCAAGGCCAACGGTTGTGCAGGGAGGAGATCGGGCCAGAATCACACTCAATCACCAGGTTTTCCCCCTTAATCAATTATTTAATTAAGGATGCCCATTTTATAGAGGCTGGGTGTGCCCCAAGAGGTTTTCACCACCCAGGGTCGCCTCACGGCCAATGAAACAGAATAAATAATTTTTCTGCCATGAGCCAGGATTCGAACCTGCGACCTTGAGCATTGGAAGCTGAGTGCTCTACCACTGAGCTACCCCACTATCCTCTAAATTAAAGTTACATAGATATAACTCTTAGTAATGAGAGAAAAATCTAATTCTAATTTAAAATGAATGGCAGTTAATTTAATTCTACATGAAAGAAAAGCAGCTTCCAAAAAATTAATCATATAATTTTTTAAAAACATGCATTTTTTAATTGGAACTTAATTTTACAGCTGTAGATCAAATTTTAAAAAGTGGGTTTCGAGTTAAGCTCCTTAGCTTTTATTAAAATCCACAGTCTCTAGAATAACCCAGTGGTGTTTTGACAAAGAAGATTCGGCCATGTGGCAATAACTTTCGTATACAAATACTTTTGTACTTTTTTGAAAATTGGAAAATAAATATATACATGTTTTGAAACAGTAAACATATGTTTTGGAACTGCTAATAACAGAACCATGAGCATAAGGTATTTTGTAAGTGACTATATGCACTTACATTACATTAAATTATTAAATATGTTACCCCTAATTATAGTATTATTTATATGATCAAATGTGTATTTTTGGATAGTAATTTTGTTACTTGTATCAAACAAGTCAAGTCTAAAATATCTTATCATTCCAGAAAGATAAGTTGAAAATGTTATTTTGAATAAAAAAATTTAAAAACTATGGCTTTATGCCGTCCATGGGTTGGGTACCCGTGTACTCAACTACAAGTTTAATATAATGAATAATAAAATTAAATAATTATTTACGTACATACATACTTAAGTATATATTGCAAAGGAAATTTGGTTCAAGTATTTTACTTTATACTATAAAATTGAAATTTAGCTGGAAAAGGCCAAAACATGCAATTTTGTGCTAAATGAAATTTCAAAAATCGAGAAATTTCAACATGTTATTCTACATAACGTGAAATAGATTGATTGTTGTGTTTGAAGTTTTTACCCCTAAGCAAACAAAATGTGCAATAACATGAAAATCTGGTCTCTAGTGATAGGATTTTGTTGTCAATATTCCTGGGACATTAGTTCGAAATCTCATAAACACACATTGTCTGACCGAAGGCAGTGATGATGAAGTTTAATCTGAATTTCATGATAAACTCAAATGGGCTTATGATAAACTATCACTGAATTGCCTGGAAATAATTGTAGAAGACACAAACAAAAAGGTGGGAAGGAAAGAAGTTTATTTTCCAGAAAGTTTGCATGAATATAGTAATGATAATGAGATCTGGCTGATAAACTTTGCCATCTTGAAAACTTGATAATTAAAGGTACTACGTTTATACATACGGATATTCATAAATAACCTTGGACATCTCCGGATTCACAAACACTAAACTAAATTTTATCATGACTTGATACAACAAAAATGGCAACGTACGTAGCAAAATGTGAGTATGGTCATGAATTATTAATTGTTTAACTTCAACAAAAACTTAACAGAAAAGAAAACGGTTTGGGTTCTGAAAATTTTAATCTGGAAAAATAAAAAAATTCATCAATTTGAGCTAGAATTTAGGAATAGGATGCTTTAGAATCTTCTGAGGATTGTTATCATATAAACACGTTATGTCTACATAATCCTAGTGAAAACAATTATACTTCTGAGCTTTAAAGAATTAAATGACTAAATTGCTCAAAAATAAAAAAAGGAGAGTATCTTAAAAATAAAATAATAGAAATTGAAAATAATGTAAGAGACATGTAAAAATTTATAAAATTTTGCAAAAAAATTTCTGTTTACTCATCATTTTCTATGTAGCTTAATAACTTAACTGGTGATATACACATTAATATATCACCAATGAAGCTATGAACCATCCCTAAACTTCTGAATGAAGAGGGAAAGGGTTATACTTTAAACTGACAGCCAAGCAGCAGTAGGATCACTTAACAATCATTCTACAAAATCAAAATTAGTAAAAGAATGCAATTCAATTCTGAATAATATAAATGAGTACAATAACTTATTCGTTAAATGGGTACCAGGGCACTCTGTGATCTTAGGTAAAGGAGAGAATTTAAGTTAGCCATAGAAGATTTGGTGACGGGCATCCCTGACTAGAATTACAGTAAGTTCTGTATTAGCAAGGATGAAACACCCTATCATATTATATTTTGGTGGGACAGATTTACTAAACTTAAGTTTAAGGTGTTTGGGGAAGATCATTTTATGAATTCTAAGGCCTGCGGGCTTGTCAATCCTTCAAGATTTAAATTCACCGGTATTGTTGAAAATTATTTTTTGATTTGAATAGCTGAAACTACACGGTCTAATAAGGCCCTCGATACATTACACTATTAAAAAAAAAAAACTTGTTAAAAATAGGTTATTATATTATTTAATGATATGGTTTGTTTGTTTTTTATAACTAATTTCATTTTTCTTAATGTTTGACTTATTTTATTTCAGATGCAAAGAGCTGAAATGGAAGAGCTTAGGCAAAGGGAAGCCAATTTAACGGCTCTATTAGCAATTGGGACCAGGAAAAAGCCAAAACTGGAAGATGGTTCAACTAACTCAGGGTCTGGCTTAGGAAGCTCCTCAACGAATGCAGGAGTAAGCTTTTTTATATCACCATTTGTATTCTGTTATTTCAAATATGAAAGAATATTTATTTTATTTAATAAATAATATAAATCATTTTGATTTGTTTGCCTCTAGGAAATTGCATTGTAATTTGTAAAATAAAAAAACCTTGCTAAAATTTATGTATATTTACAGGTCGTACTCAGGCCTAGAACAAAACGGGTGTGCCTACGAGATCTACTAATCCTGATGGAACAGGAAAAAGAAACATGCCGGGGTTTGTTGTTATATAAATCATATTTCAAGTGATCATACCTTAATAGTGGAAACCCTTTAAAAATAATTTGTGATACAGTATTTGGTCTGATCCAAATTAGTCTCTCCTTTGCCTTTCTATCTCCTTGTGTACGGCATCAAACCTGACTGAATCTCAGAACTGAGTCATGAATTTCGGTATTTATGACTATTTAATCACTAAGGGAATATTAGGGAGGCAGTTTTAATGAGAGTCAATTATTGATTCCTTTTAATTTGTGATAATAAAAAAAATATCCATGCTACTTTTTACATATATTGTAAAAGAATTGGTTCAAAACGCTATGTATATTTGTATAGTAAAATTATTTTAAGATTTTTTTATATATATATAAATATATATATATATATTGCAAATAGATTTACGTTCAACTCTTGTATAAACTGTAAAAGAATTATTCACTCTTCCTGTGAAAAAATATTTGTATTTATATAAACAAGATTTTATTAAGTCTTAATTTTAAAGCTGACTGACTGGGTATTTATTTAAATTCATGTAATTAGTATTATTGAATTACTGCGTTTAATTTGTACAGTTTTGATTTGTAAATTAAGTATTCGGCATAGGTTAGCATTTTATAGTTAATTTAATAGCGGTATACCAGTTACCCTATTTATAGTGAATCTATTATAATAAAAGATTTTTTCATGGAATTATTTTTATGTTATATCTTCTTTGTTAATATATATTTTTTTAGTCATCTTAGAGTGGCATCTACAATATGTTTGTTTTGTTGAATGTTGAAATATTTTGACTTTCATAGGAAGCCAAACAGATTCAATATGTTTATTAGCCTTTAGTATTTAAATGTCGAAAAATGATATATTTTTTAAAAATATTTCATGAGTAATCATCATCATTAAGACTATTTTCTTTCTTCTCTTTTTTTTTTTTTTTTTTTAAATTTCAACTTATAGCTGTCATTAAATTTTGCAATTAGCATATCATTTTTCCAAAATGTTCTTCATCATCACATCAGGATGTAGTAGAATAGAACCAATCTTAATAGAAAATGTAATATAAAGGCAATCACTAACAATAATGATCATTAAGGATGAAGCATTAAAATCTTATTTCAGTTATATAAAGCATAATTTATTATTTTTCATGCTGTTGGTACAAATATACAGATACTATTAGCAAATGTAAAATTAAATTTTCATTGTCAAAAGAATTGTTTTAAGATTATGCATACAAAGATACTAATTGCCGTTTAGCACAAATAATGGGACAACCTAAAAATATTATTTTTGTAAACATCTCAATAGAAATTGTTGTGATTTTGAATTGATCGTCGATTTTGGATGTACGTTTTTGGTCTGCAAATGATATGAGCTATTAAGTCCAAAAATAGGTTTATTGAAAAATTTACATCCATTTTAAATTGAGGTGTTTATAAAACTAACATTTTCTAGTTATCTCATTATTCATGTCAGAAGGCGATAAATAAGTACACAAATAGTTTTTAAAATTACTTTTTTTTTTTTTTTTACAAAATTTAACAAAAGAAAAAATACATAATATCTCATATTTTTTATACTAAGTAGTTCGTTTGATTTACAGGGATTCATAAATGTATAATGTAGTTTTATTATTTTTCTTAGTTTTAATATAAATAAAATCCATTTAAAAAACTCCAACTTTCTGAGGTTTTGTGAAAAACTTTATTCGGGAAAACATATTCATTCAATTTATTTTCATATTTCAATCGGATCAATTCATTAGTTCATTTGGACAGAACATACTTCATAAAACATTGCCGATAATTAATTTTATCATCTGTAAGATAGAGCCTAACTGCTTTGGCAGATTTAATGCCAAAATAGTAAGTGGAATATTTAATCTCAACAATCTATAAGAATATTTTCAACGCAAGGGTGTTAGTCAGCAGTTAATTCATGCCTAATCCTTCTAGCTAACACTAAAATTCAGTCATGACTAAACATCAATTAGACATGACCTGACAGGCCCACGATCTTTGTCTAAATGTATCCTTAAGAAGCATTTGATTACTACGAATGTATTACTGCTCAATTATTTAATAAAGTTTGGCTTCTTTATTAATGATCATCTATCAAACCTTACGATTTGTATTTGTTTGTGTATGTGTGTGTGTGTATGTAGGTAATTGTTGTCCGTGCCACTCAAATAATTTATATATATATATATATACATATGTGTGTATATGTATATATTATATTAAATATATACATTTACTTTTTCTTTTGTTAAAAAAAAGTATATATATAAAAAAAAAAATTATATATAACTGGTGGGTTCAGTATGTAACACTAGTACATATTTTTTTTTTTTTTCATTTAATAATTGAATAGTAACAAAGTTAAAGTTATCTGCGAATTATGAAATTATAAATAAGTTTAAATCTTGTTATTTGTTTTTTTTTTTTTTATTATTATGTTATTAGTTGCATACAAATTATTTCTTGATTTTATTTTGGTGCAACATTAAGCGTTGGACAATTTTGTTCATGAAAGATCTCTGAGTGATGTTAACATGTATATCATTTAAAACCAAAAAAATATATCTATTATTCCTTAATCGCATGTAAATTAAGTGAAATTTCATCCCATTTATTAATTAACGTTTCATGAGGACTAATCAACTTAACTAATTTTAATTTTTTTCAAGAAATTTTGTTTATTTTATATAAAATTCATACAGACTGATTGAGGCTTAAGTATCAATTAATTATAGGCAGCTGTACAGTTTAGCATTTATTTTTATTGTATTTTTTTCTTTTTATTCATACTCAACTTCTTATGTGAAATGAAAATGTTTTTTCCATTACAGTCAATTTCTATTCATTGATTTATTTTTCAAATTTTCTAAAATAATAAAAAGAATCTATAGAAAAACTGATCAACTTACATTTTAAAAATGATTAGTCAAATTCTTAAGATAAAAGAAAAATTATCAATCTAGACATTTACAGTAGAACTTATCTGAGGTAACTGAGACGCACGAGTTATATAGTTACGCACGAGAAAATCCTTTAGTTACAATTTCCTGCTTCATTTGCATCTTTATAGGCTGTTTTAAAGCCATGCTGACTTTAGAACTGATTTTATTTGGTTTTAAATTTTGAAAAATAAGAATGTTTCTATGTTCAAATTAATTATCAAATGTCAGATTAGTCCTTCTCCATATGTAATTTTTTCTTACATTTCTTCTATACTTTGAAAATTTTAATTATCAATTACAACATTTAAAAAATTGTTTAACATTTTGTCTTAGTTTTCAAAAGATTGAAAAAACAATTTTATCCTTTATTATTTATCCAACTTTTTGTGTGGGCTCCAAGTTGAGAACGTGGACATAAAAAGTAACTATATTTTACAATAGAATTTTGCTCTAAATTAAGAATGAAGTTTGAAAAATAGGGATTAATTCATACTATCCCTTCTCCTGTGAATTTTTAATATTATCAATTTAAATGGTGAAACATAAATATATTCCAATTTACATTAATCATATAAATAGTTCATGCATATATACATGTTTTATGCCTGAAATAAGTGAAATCATATTTCTATTTTTACTATTCCATTTAGAAAACTAGATTCCTTTTTCTCTTTATAGGACTTTAAATTATTTTCATTGATTCTTCCAAATTCAATTGTAATACAAACAAAAAAAATAACATTGCCTTTATATTATTTTTTCCATCAAAAATACTATTTACATTTTACTAATATTAATGACATGTTGCTTATTTGATCTGGATCATGTACGATTATGCTATGTCAGTATTGTTTTCAAATTTTGATCTGACTAATTATTATATATCAGATATATTTTGCATAGTAAATTTCTTTTTCTTATCACCATATAATTTAATTATTATTTAAACCTCAATCTCTGTACTGCCATTATATTAGTACTGTATTTTACAGAATATCTTTTGTTTTTTATTAAATTAAAAAAAAAATGATAATGTTACTTGTTTTGAGCCATGAATAACATTATTTTCCCACTGTTTTTAATATAGTTACCATAAACAATATCATTGCTGTTTTAAAATGTTATATTTTATAATACTATTAATCATTATTCTAAATCACAAATAGGTCCTCATAAATAACATTGGAAAATGTTGTTTGAAAGAACTCCTTTTGATAGATATGGAGTATTTTTGTACCTATTGATTGCTGGCATTTATCAGCATTCTTGTTATTTAAATATGTTCTTTAGTTGTGAATAATTTGATCATTACATAATTATATCATATTGTTATCCCATATACGTTAGAAAATGTCATATTTTTCTATAATAAACGCAATATTTAAAATTTTGTATATTCGCCTTAGATAATTTCCAGTAATTTAGGTTATAAGCTTGTACAGTTATTTAAAAGTAACATATATATATATATATATACATATATATTAGTCCGAAAAATGCCTTAAATTTTTTACTTTCAGTTGTTAGTTGAAATAAACTATTAATAGGCACTTTAGCCAGAATCCAGCCAGCACATGTTATAGTTTGATAAGTGTAATACTTGTTTTTTCCATTTTAATTACTTTGTAATAGATTTTAATTTAGTTAATAATTCCCACCGATGTGTATTTGCAATTTTTTAATTTCTGAAACATTACTGTATGAATTATGATGTGTGGGCTGGGTCATATTCTGTGGGTGAAAGTATTTTGTATAATGGTATTATTGTGTTTGACACAAATATACAGATTTATTTTTGTATGTGATTGTCTCTTCCATTTCTTATATCATTTTTGGTAATATAAAAAGCACTTAGCTTATTCGTGTTTCAAGTAAAAACAACAGAACTGATTAATTTTTCCCTTGTGAAGTGATATTTTTTTTTTTTTTTTTTCCAATGAATAGAGAATACTAATTTCAAGTTAGTATAAATCTTTGATTTTATATTTAAAATGAAAAAGAAAAAAAATAAGAGAAAGGAATGTCTTAGAGTTGTTTATAAAAAGCTTTGCATTATAAATTGTATTTTGAGCTTTTTTTAAAAAGATAGCTAATAAATAACCAATAATAATAATAATAATAAAAGTAAAAAATAAAGTTTCTGTATAAGTGCAATTGGTTTTATATGTATGTTAAAACATAGCTGGGACCAGATTAAATAAAGTTTAACTTTTTCATTATAGATGAACTAATTTGTATATATGTAAATATTAATATTAAGTGTTGTGATCTTAAATGTATTATATAAATTGTATCATACTAATTACCAAACTGTACATTTAAAAAAAAACTAATTTCTCTTCATAGTGGTGTAAATTGCATATTAAATTGTGTTCATTATTGTTAAAGCAGTCATATTTAAATACAACCATGTTTTAAAATAACCTCTTTTACTGCCCCCATATGGTGTTTAAAAATGTGGTGTGGTGTGCACATCACACAACTTTCATTTACCACCCTCTTTGCAGAAATAATTATTTTCATACAAAAGGAAGCAAAAGTAAAAATTTTAGATGGTATGGAATATTATTTAAAATAATTAATTACCATATTTTTTTCATAACCCTGTAATGTATTAGGTATATTTATTTTATTTTACAACTATATATTTCAATTATTTATTTGATTATAATAACTAATTAAGTGTCACAAAATATTTTTAGTCCAACAAGAGTGCCACAGATAAGGAAGGCCGCTACATTTATTTATATTGCATTAAGGGTATTTTTATTTGTTTAGTACCGGTATATATACAAATTTTAATTTTTATATCTCTTATCTATACAATTAAATTAGTTTGAGATATATTAATATGCACTTTTTTGTGTTAGCGAACTTACCTAAAATAGTGCCGTGCAATTACGAAACACCCTGTGTTAGGGAATAAATCAAAAGTCATATTTATTTTATAAATATTTAATAGTTTCACATATTGTTTAAATATGCATATGTGATTTATTGTTATTGTTGTAATAAAAAGTCAAAAGGTCTAAAATCTCTGTTTTTTATTTGAAACTCTTGTACTCGGAGTTTCTGAGGAAGAAGTCAAATATTTTAGAATCGCTTGTAAACGAGATATTTGATCTTTTAATAGAAAATAATGTATCCGAAGAAGAGCTAATGTCAGAACTGGAAGAGGCAGATGGACACAGGAAAAGGTATGAAATTGTTAAAAATAAGTACAATAACGTCATTAAAGGTGATCAAATTTCTATTAGAAATAACGATCAACATTGTGTTCTATCGGGTGTTGTCAAAAGATTTGGTTTGTTTGAAACTCCGTTTTAAAGTTTGTGAAAATAAAAAGACATCAATCCATGGCCAGGTTTTTGGTGTTTGAGCATTGGATGATGAAGATGACATGTTTGGTAAAGATGATGCTAAGGAAGATAGCATTAGAATATTTAAGACAGATGTGCTAAAGATAATGCAAATGAAGATAGTATTAGGGCAATTGAGGGTGAAGATGATGGTATTTATGTTTATGACGTTTCTTTGAAAGCCTGTGCTAGTTTGAAGGAGGCTAGGAGGAAAGAAAGGCAAAAAGAACAAGCTCGTAGTGACTGAAAATTACAATGGTATAGAAGGCCGTATACCAGTTTAAATCCAAAGTTACAGACAAATATTATCCACTACAACCTGACTGATCCAAATATTACTAAAAAAAAATTCGGATTTGGTCCTGAAGTTGTTGGAAATGTCCAGGTAGTGGGAGGAGAATATTTAGTTAATTCCTCTGACAGAGCTATAATTCTAGGAGAATCATTGCCTTACCATCAAAAGGAAGTCGAAACTGATCTCAATGAAGAAAAACAGACGGAAGAAGATATAAGTTCTGATGAGTTAAGTTTTAGACCATTCATTGGTGATCCTGCTAAACAAGTGAGGTTTAAAAGATGTCTTGGCTTTATAAACATAGAAGCTAATGATACTTTGAAAAATATTCGCCCTAAGAAATTGTCTCAAAGGATACGAAAATAGAAGAATGATATAAATGATGGAATTAAAATTCAAAATGTAAATGATATTCAAAATTCATCAGGTGCTGATAGGGCTAATGCTTCAGAACTAATGTATGGCACCTCACTACCAACCAAACCAATTTTCATAGAGAAAACTGAAATGAAGACAGTGAGTCATCTTCCTATGAAATAGAATGGACCAAAAAAGATACTTCTAAGAAAAGGAAGCAAAAGAAAAATAGGAATTTAGAATTTAAAGATTGAAGAGAGTCCCTCTGGTTATGTATCAAAACTTTTGAATTGTATGAAACAATTCAAAACTCCTCACCTGGGAGGATGTTAAGGTATAAATCAAAAGTGATATAAATATTTAATAGTTTCACATATTGTTGAAATATGCATATGTGATTAACCGTTATTGTTGTAATAAAAGTCGAAAGGTCTAAAATCTCTGTTTTAAAGTTTGTAGTGAAATATTAAAGTCAGTTTATTTCAAATACATAGTTCTCAACTTTATTCTATTTCGAACCTAGGGATCAGATATAATGGTTAGTTATATATTAACCCCTAAGCCGAACACCCTGTATATATATATATATATATATATATATATATATATATATAGAGAGAGAGAGAGAGAGAGAGAGGGTGATGGTGGGACAGAAGGCCCCATCATTTCTCCCCTAACATTTCGCCTGCAGCCAGGCTTTAGGACCGTTTCTCCTGCCTAAGGAGATTTCTTCTCTTGGCATCCCCGATGGTTTCGGCAATCAGTGAGTCCCCAGCTTATAACGGTGTCCCTCCTCCCGGAAACGAGATTAAGTCTTTCAACCGGCGTTGTCCGTCACCTAATATCTCAACACATTTAACATATAGCTACTACTTTGAAAGTGTCTAGTTAGACTATTATAATAGGATCGTAAATTCACGTTTACTTTTCTCGATATGGTGAGTGGGGCTCCTATCCTAAACACTACTGTCTCTCCAGGGCAGTGCAGAATATTTACGTAACTTATTACGCCTCATTCCCGACATTGCGGGTATCAACCAACAGCCACCAAGAAACTAAACTCTTGTCGAATAGGACGGCAGGGACCATGTCACCCTTGGTATCAGCATGAATTAAAGAGGCAGCTGGCACTAGCGGATCCAGGATTTAATTTTGGGGGGGCTTCAGCCCGAAAGTTCTTTTTTTCATAAAAAAAACGATAATTACTTTGGAAAAAAAGAAAGAAGCTAACTACCTGTATGAAATAGTGTTTAAGTGATTCCTAAAGCCCTTTTAAATGTAATTACACGAACAATAATACTTTAAAAGATACTTTTTAAATATTTTTTTCGATAAAACATGGTTATATTTTAGCATTTTGGGGGAGGCTTCAGCCCGAAAGCTCCCCCCCCCCGTAGATCCGCCTGTGACAGGGTGGGGACCATGCCTCATCAGCATGTCTTTGAACAGGCTTCCATCATGCCTCCAGGGCTGGTGACCCGGAGGTCAATCCCCCTACTAATATCAGCTCAGTAGCTCATAATTTTAAAAGATCCATGCTTTCCCGACTTCACTGTCTTCCAGTTACATTGTCTAGGTCGTTCCCGAACTAGACTAGGAGCTATCGACCATTTCATTTAACCGAGGGACTTACAGCTAGTAACCATTTCAAATTCTGAACTTATCATCTCAGCTCTTTATGCGAAAATTTAAATTAAAGAGGCGAAATTTGATGGTTCATTTATCGGAAGAACATACGGCTGAAATTTTGATATGATGTCAAGGATATGTCTCTAAAATAGAATTCACCTTGACTGACGATGTACCGGTTGCGTTTTGAAAACTGACGCGTCAGTCATCAAATTAGTCCAGTCGAATGGTAGTTGGTTGAGGAAAAAAATTCAAATATTCGGTTTCACTACGGTTTTTTATGTTTTTTGGGAAGATGAATCTGAATTCGATGTTCCTGAACAAAATTTTTCATTGCTTTCCGAGATGCAAAAACAGCGAAATTTCGTAATTTTTTTTATTTTTCGGACATAACTCCCAAACTATGCATTTTGTCGAAATTATTATCACGTACAAAGTAAAATTAGATAAAATTTACTTTCAGTTTTTATACGTTGCTTTTTTATGTAGGTCCAACGAGCGAGGGTTAGCTCATTTCACAAGAAATATTTGTTTTCGTCGGTTCCCCCCCTCCCCAAAAAAAACTCATAAACTATGCATCTCTCTAAGAAATTCATCATAGCCAATTTTAAATAGCATTAAATTTCCTACGTACCTCATGTAGACACGTTAATATGTGAAAGGGCTAAGCGGCTGTTAGAGCGCATGGAATTGAAGCCATATTTCACTCGTGATATCTGTCTCTCTCAACTTAAGTATTTTTTATCGTTTTAATGAGTTTAATTCATACTGTTATAAATATAGTTAAATTAGACGAATCAATAGCATTGAAAAGTGACGAATGTTTGGTTACTTTTGTAAAGATCAAATTTTTCTAACCTTCCATGGAGGCGACACCCCCGCGCTTCACCCTGGATCTGCTAGTGTTCCTCGTGGACTATTTGGTTTCACTCTTGTGAGTCTTGTCTTGGAGAATTTGAGCCAAGTTTCACAGTCTTGACATGGACGTCAATTTGTGTGGATAGCTTGAAAGGAAGATTGGGCAGGGACATGGACATTACGTCTACTTAACTGTAGCACAGATAGGCAAAAACTGAACTAAGTTCAGAAAACTGTCTATTTACTCCCATATTGTTTTTGTTCAGGTTATGAGAATATTAATTGCTGCAATATTATCCAAGTTGATTGACGATTAACTGTAATGTGATACTTGAATTCCTGAAAGTTATTTCATTTTAATAAAATATTCAAAACACAGCTTTATCAATTCCTTGTATGTCCACAATGTCTTTAGTCTGTTCTATGTTCGTTTGGGTGATTAGGAAGTAATTAACCATCTTGTTTTATTCGTTATGGTTAAAATACGTTATACGTAGTAACATTATATAAATCCATAAATACCCGTTTAAGTAAGCGAATGATCTGGCACTATTTCACAAATTTAAATATTTTATTGAACACATTAACTGAACAAAAAGAAATTGCTCACTTTGTAGACAAATATGCTTTGGCTAGATCGGCAAGTCGAGAAACTATAATAAATTAATAAAAACCTTTATCGTGTCAGAAAGATGAATTCATAAATGATTTCCTTCTACAACCCATGTTTTAAAAGAAAAATTAGACGAAATAATTGGTTACGTATATTAATAATGAACAATAGTTTTCTATTAAGATCTTGAATTTGATTGATTAATGACATCTACCTATTATTTGTTATTTCTTTGGGTCACGTGTGTGTACTGAGCGCCGAAGTCAAATATTGAACGATCCCGTTAATGTTGTAGCAGTTGGAGTTCGTCGTTATATTGATGCGGTTTATATACAGTTTTCTTCAGCCTACTAAGTCCTTCTTTTCACAACCAAAAGTTCATCGATTTTATTCGATATTAATGGACAACCTAAACAAAATTGGAACTCACGATGGAACATTCCATTGTGATGAAGTTTTAGCATGCTATATGCTTAGATTACTCAGTCCTAATGCTACTGTTGTAAGATCCAGAGACCAGGAAGTTCTCAATACATGTGATATCGTTGTCGATGTTGGAGGTGTTTATAATCCAGAAAAAAAATTATTTGACCACCATCAAAGGGAATTTACACTTTCTGCAAGTTCTCTTATACCTGGGAAACCATGGACTATTAGGTTGAGTAGTGCTGGTTTAATCTATTGCCATTTCGGTAAAGATATCATTAAGAAGGTTGTAGAGAATATTGATGAATCTGCTGTGGAATGTCTATTTCATCGAGTATATGAAGGGTTTATCCAAGAAATTGATGCAATTGACAATGGAATCCCTGTATGTGAAGGCGAGCAAAGGTATTACATTTCCACACATTTGTCTGCTCGTGTAAAACATCTCAATCCTAGCTGGAATCAACCCAATGCAGATGTTGATAGTGCTTTTTATAAAGCAATGACATTGGTTGGAACAGAGTTTGAAAATAAAATAAAGACTTTGTATTCAGAATGGTGGCCTGCCAGAATTATAGTGAAAGAAGCAATAAGTAACAGATACAACCTGCATGCTACTGGTGAAATTATTGAATTGTCTCAGTTTTGCCCTTGGACAACCCATTTGTTTGAAATTGAAAAAGAAATGAAACTTGAACCAACCTTAAAGTATGTAATATTTCCTGCTTCTCAAGAAAGAACTGTTTGGAGAGTGCAAAGTGTTCCTCTGGAAGATCAGAGTTTTCAGTTAAGAGTACCTCTTAAAGAAGATTGGAGAGGCTTAAGGGATGAAGAGTTATGTAATGTTTCTGGTATCAAAGGTTGTATTTTTGTTCATAGTTCTGGTTTTATTGGTGGAAATGACACTAGACTAGGAGCTATAGAAATGGCCAAGAATAGTTTGATTTCGTGATGTTTTAAATTAGGATTGATTAATGTTATGATGTTGGAAACTTCAGTTGTTAGTTATTATCTTTGAATTTTTTGTCAAAGAATTTATTTATTTTTAGCTTACTTCTGATTAATTTAAATTGGTGAATTTAGGTTTCTTGTTATTTTATATCATGGCTGCTTGGAATAAAACCGTTGAGGCTCTTGGTCGTTAAGGCTGATCTAACATTTATTATAAATGAAGTTTTTGACAACAGTTGATGCCCTACCACTGATTTCATTGTTGTTAACATTAACTTTCCTTAAATAAAATATTGGTATTATTTATACCAAGAAACTGCTAGTTGAAGATAAAACATTTTAGAAATTTCCAGTTATACTGATATTGCGACTGAGTGCCTCAATATTTGCTACTCCTAGTTAGGTAATAACTTAACTTTTATGATGAATGTTTTTGGCAATTTTATGTTGAATAATTATTAAAAAATTGCTCTTAGAATTAGCAATAGTCTTTATGTCGTGTAACCATCATGCCTGAAAACCCTTTCTTTTAAATGTCACATGATTATTGATCACCAATTTATTAGAAATACCCAATTATTTTCTTAGTATTTAGTTATATCTATTTTATTTTTAAACAAAAAAAACAGGATCATTGCAAGGCTGTCATTTTCCAAGAAACATTAGCTATGTTTGCTTTATTCACTTGCCGTATTTATCAATTTGTATTTTTATGATTTTAAGCCGATTAAATCGATCTTTGAGAAAGTGCAATCAGGCCCATCATCTACTTATAACTTAAAATCTTTCTCTCAGTTTCAGAAAATAATAATATTTGTTTTAGATAAATAACTGTAAGCTTCTTTCTATCAATTGCCAAAATATTTTCAAGTTCTTAATGTTTAAGATATATTTCTTTTGGAATTGTTAAATGTTCTCAAGTGATTATACTAAAAAAATCTGGTGAGCACAACACAACTTTCAATTACCGCTCTACTTTGAATAGAAATAATCTGGCAATGTTGGGCTGTTATAAAATTTTTGAAGTACATTTTTAACCGAGCTAAAGCTTAAATCTTACAGCTAACAAATCATTAATACCTTAAAACAACAAAAATCCTATTTATTACATCAACGGTTGATTATGGATTGTACGACTATGTTCCTACTATGACTAGTTATTAAATTTAGTTGTTATTTTCCATTGCAAAGTTTACTAAAATGGAATTACGAGATTTGCATTGTCAGTCATAGATAGGTAAAAGGTTATCACACTAATCGTAAGTGAATACTTTTGAGGTATGACAAAGGAAAAATGCATCATATTATATTCACAAATTTAATTTTCTAAAAGGTTACATAATGATTTTTCTGAATAAACGGAGGATATATACTTAATTATTAAAATATAATATCAGATCTAGTTATTAAACCACAGTAAATGTTTTTAAGATTATAAAACATATCTATGAAATATTTTTATATTTCACTTCTTTAACACAAGTACAATGGAATAGTTTTAAACAATGTCATTGCCTTGATTCAGTGTATTTTAAATACTTTTTTTTGAAATTTAAAAAAAAAATTAAGTTTACATTTAGTTAAAAAATTTAATTTAATTTTCTTGGAAACATATGATTATTATTTATATTTTTTTTGTCACTGTCCGTTACCTTCTACAACTTTCTATCTTAGATGTTATTTTTTCTATATTTCTACCCTTTAAAGGATATATTATACATCCTGGAACTCCTTACTCTACGTTCCTCTAACCACTCTCTTAATACCAGGTCTCAACCTATAGATTTATATATCCCCTCCCATAAAACTATTTCCTTCAGCAAATTCTTCGACATTCGTGCTATCTCCTTTTGGAACTCTCTTCCTACGTGCATACGTCAATCCTCATCCACAAATCATTACAAACAACTCCTGTTCCACCACCTACTACACATTTAAACTTCTGCAAACATGTAAAATTATTGCATATGTATACTGTTCAATTTTAATCTACTGCTCAATTGCAATAACAATCAGCAGTTTATTAGTTTGTATTGTTTATTATTCTAAGCGAGACTAAGATCCATAAATTTGTAACTGCTATTATTCTTAGAGGACTGTAGTCCCAGAATAAAATTATTTTTTCATTTTATTTTATACCTTTTTACTATTATTTCTGGAGCTTTTTATCTCCTTTTTTCAATTATCCTATTCTTTCAAAAGTTATATTTAGCCTTTATATTAGTTAGAATGATAGTTGATTATTTAAAAAAAAAATATTTTTTTTCTTTATTTCAAATACATAAAATAAATTAACAAATTGAGTAAGTTTCCCATATTATAAGCTGAACATCCACCAGTATTTTGTTTTTTGCTCTTAAATGCTCTTGGTACTTTGTATTTGAAAAATACTTGGTGTTTTAAAATAATAATTATAATACTTTTTTCCCAAGTGTGGTTTAGGAGCACAAGTGTCCTAATAAATATATTACGATAAAAGTAAAAATCACATTTTTTTAGTCATGGAACCAAACCATGAAAATAAAGTGAGATCTAAAACATAATAAAATTGTACCTGCTTTCTCTGCCTGAGGAATTAAAAATAAAGGACCATGAGGAATGTTCATTAGGTAGTGCAATAATGATTTTAAATGGATGAATACATCAAAACATCACTTCAATGTGTTATTGAGAGCAAGGGCATACAATTATAATACATATCAATAATATATTTCAGTAATACTGTTATGAATAGTTTGAAAGTACATTAAAAAGCTTTATTTAAAATTAAAAAATATGAATATATGTTTTCTAACTCAACAATACATCAATTAAACATAATACTTTACACTGTAAATCATATAACAAATAAAACAGCATTAATTAACATCAGGATTGAATATCACGAATTCCTTGTGAACAGATCTGAAACATGAAGATAAGGATGCAATATTTATATTTTATTTACTATCTCTTACTTTAACTGAAATATTTTTTTCAATAATTATACTGATACTAAATTTTATTTTATAATAAACTTAATTAAAAACAACTTACTAAAAAATAAAATACTATCAAAATAATCCTATCTGTCCTAAAGGACAGAATGCATTTGCATATCCATTTAAATACATTGATCGTCTATTGAGCTACTACAGTAGTACTTTTAGTATTGGTGTACCACAAATGAATGTTTAATGAAATTATAACCTAGAAATATATTTGCATAGATACAAATTTTTGAGGACTTGAGAATGAGCTAATCAGCTCAAAATGTCGTTTGAAATGGAATAAATCTTTAAAGTATAATGGCTTATATATTCTTTGAAGACACCATATATAAGTACATTGTTGGGTTGTCAGAGAAGAAAAAAAAAGAGATCTATGAATAGTGAGAAATATGAATTGGCAAAATTCATTTGATGAATGAATGACACTTAAAGAAATTGGGTGCCTTCCATTATTAAACGAAACTCAATATCTGACAATATTTGATTAATTCACTTTCTGTATATTGTGGGACTGGATTATTTGGATTCAGAGGAACATAAAGATGTATTTCTGTTGAAAATTCAGATTTGAAAGCTATAATAAAAAATAATTTTATTTATTTTTCAAAACTTATGTAAAAGGCTTAATCATTTCACACTTTCAATTTCTTATTCATACCTGCCACAGAGCAGTGTGAGGGATTTCTGCATGTATAGCTTGATGCCTAGTACTAAATACTCCTGTGGTGTCCCTTAAGGTTCCTCTCTATCTCCTCTGTTTGCTATTTACATTAATGACCTTTCCCTCCTGATCCGTCACTCCCAATACCATATCTATGCAGATGATTTCCAAATATACCTGTCCTTCCCGCCCTCTGACCTATTATCTTATAGAATATTATTATATAGAAAAACTTCAAGAAGACATGGATGAGATTTGTGATTGGGCGAGAGCCAACAAGTTGAAGTTGAATGCGGAAAAGACAGGCAATCTTAATTGGCTCTAATCACCTCCTTAAAACTGTTCCACATATTCCAACTCTATTCCTACATGATAATCCCATCAAATTGGAATAACCTTTGATCAAACATTTTCCTGGAAAAACCATGTATCCAACATCTCCCACCATACCATTTCCACCTTAAAACACCTAAACTACTTCCGTCATCTATTTCCCCTTGAAACCCGTAGGCTCCTAGTCACTTCCTTAATTTTTCCCTACTTTGACTATTGCTGTACGGTATATGGGGGGCATCTCTGTGGATCTCGAGGCGAAACTAAGATGTTTGATAAATTGCTTTGTACGATTCATCTTCGGGATCCCAAGGGACGCATCTGTTTCCCATTTGTATGCAGAGTTGAAGTGGCTTTATCCTTCCTACAGTCGTAAGTATTTCCTGGCATCCCTCCTCTTTCAAGTCATCCAATCCCACCACCCCTCATACATCTCCGAGCTCCTTCAATTCAAATCCTCTGTTCACTCCCGCAATACCCGTTCCAGGTCTTCTGATTTATACATAAAGGCCCACCGAACCGCTGTTTTTGACAGATCGTTCATTATCCGATCTTCATCCCTATGAAACTCCATCACTCCCCACATCCGTCAATCCAAAACCCTTCCTACCTTTAAATCCCACCTGTTTAATCACTTCTTATCCATCCAGTCCCCATAAAATTGTAAATAGATACCACTGTAAATATGTATATAAATTATTAGATTGTTCTTCATTATTTTTACTTATTTTCAATTTGTTATTATTAACTTATTTAAGTTACAAAGTAACTTATAATTTTTTATTATGACTATTTAATTTCTCAGCATTTTTTTTATCTATCTCTAAGGCTCCTTAGTCCACATTTCTGTCCTGTATTATTCTAAATTCGTCCCAGAATAAATAAAGTATTATTATTATTATTAAATGGCTGCACGTATTGAATTCCATTCCTCTTCTCAATGTTGCTACTTTCCAAGTGTTTCTGGGCCTTCCTCTAAATCTTCTACCCTCAACTCTCATTGGATACATGATTTTG